ACCTCCAAACTCCTGTTGATGGATCATACAACTCCGTACTATTTAAATAGCCACCATTATTCTGACCACCACTAACTAACACTGTCCCATTTGATAATATCGATGCTGTGTACCAAGATCGTGCATTATTCATGCTACCAGTAGACCTCCAAACTCCTGTTGATGGGCCATACAACTCCGCACTATTTACAGCTCCACCACCATTATCACCACCACTAACTAACACTGTCCCATTTGATAATACCGATGCTTTATGATATGCTCGTGTGCTATTCATGCTACCAGTAGATCTCCAAACTCCTGTTGATGGATCATACAACTCCGCACTATTGAAAAAACCACTAACAGTATTGTAACCACCACTAACTAACACTGTCCCATTTGATAATACCGATACTGTATGAAATTTTCGTGCACTATTCATGCCCCCAGTGTTTGACCACGCTACAACGGAATATCTGATTCTATTTAACTTATACATGGTTGGTGTGGGCTAGAAATCAGCGGTCTGGAAATAATGTGCCAATACATGAATGAAAACCACCCTGTGAATACGCTGTTCGACGACACTTTCGCCATCGAAGTAGAACTCCCCTGCTCGCTCTTCTTAGTTCTTGTTCTGACATCTCAACTTCTCGGTTTTTCTCTTCTCCCTGCTGGCTCCTTCTTCTGCCTTATTTTACGGTCCTGAATCCTAGGTGTGGTGTGTGGGTGTAACTGTGGGTGGGTGTCTCTTTTTCTTACACACCCACGCACAAACCCTCAAAGGTTGGTCTTATCTTGACTTCTGATAGGAAGCGTTCCCTGATCTTGTGTATCTAAATGACTATCATTCAATAGGTAAAGCCGAAACTTTGGGATATCGTTATTTCTAGTAATAATCGTTTGAGATACTAGAAATCATTTAATATAGTACTGACCTGGTATTACTGTTGTTGTTGTTGTTGTTGTTGTTGTTGATGATGTTGTTGACGTTGTCGTAGTCAGTTCTATTTTGAAAAAATGATTTTAGGGTGAGACTAAATGATTGCATAAGATTTGTTTCTTTTTCTGTAACAACATATCCACGTTAAATATGCGTTGATTATAATAAATTAGAAAATGTTTAAATGATTTCCCTTATAACTGTAGTTCTACAATATTTACTTTAAACATATTACTCTTATAATAATTTTGACAACTCAATTTACATTTCTTAATAAGTTTAATAATAAAAAAAACTTTTTGAATCACATAGATTGAGACAAGATCATAAAATTGAATGAACTTATATTGGTCTAATTTATAATTTTCCTCTCAGAAGTCTTCATTATTGCAGTGTATCTATTTGTATTGTTAAAAAATTCTTTGTGAGACAGGAAAATTTCTACATGATATATTTAGTGACAGATTTCCAGTTTACATTCAGTTTTTCTGCATGATTTAGCGAGGTGCAATATTAACCTTAAACTACTTGTAATCATCATCTTAATAAAAACAACCTGTAATTTCTTATTTATTTCTTAAGAATCTGTTCGATGCGTTATATTTCTATGAAATTCCGATGGAAATTCCTTTCATAGATACCGATACTTTGTATAGATTTATGACTATGAAAGCATAATATCTATAGACATTCTTCATGGAATAATTATCTCATTTTTTCTTCATTATTCTTTTAATATTCGATGGTATTGATTATTTAGTTTCAAGTGTCAAAGAGAGTTCGTTTTACTAAGATATTTTCAAAGTCGAGTTTGAAAAATAGATCTGGAAAGAGACCGTTTAGTTCAAAAAGAATTGCTTTCAAAAAGGGTTTGGCTGAATTTTGTTTTCTGTCATTCTGAGCCGAATCGATCTGTGACGTACACACAGATCTATCCAATATCTCTGCCAAGTTGTCCTTGCTCTCGATAACTTAAAACTATTTTTCAAGAAGAAAATACTTTTTCTGTCTGACCGATATATTTTCTGTTAAACCTCTGCTAATTTTATACTGACCTGGTGGAAATCGTGTTTCACTAATAACATTCATACTAGTAGCATCCACATCAGCCAACATATTTCCATTTTGGTTTAACATATTATCAAATAATTCACAATTTGAAGTTGATCGATGAAAAGTTGCTGCTGTACATTGACTTTGGCCTAAACAGGCAAATTGACAATTCCTAATGTCTGTTGTAATAACGCTAATGAATGGTAAACAAGTTGTATTTGCACATTGAAATTTAGAATCAGGTATTACAAACATTTCCTCTGATCGTATATCTTGTCCGACTGTTTGTGTGATAATCATGAATGAAATCCATAAATAAACAGTTGTTGAAGCCATCAACAGCCAGACTGTAAGTTGATGAAATGAATTTAGCTTATAGCAGAAGACAGAGTATTTATTGAGCGATAAATTCTATTTTTTTCTCTCTTTTTCTCTCAATTCACTTCATTACTCTAATGAAAAACTAACTATGGTTTCTAGTTCTCATTTCATCTCGTCAAATCTGATAAGAAAAACAATCCTGAATTTTTTGTTTACACAAAAAAAATATCCATTCGGAAAAACGACTTCCTTGTATTTAAATGTTATTTAAGAAGAAATATATCCATATATAGAGCTTTGGAGTTATTCAAAAGATTAGCAAACATTAAGAACGATCGATCTAACAAAATTAAATTTGAAAAGACAATAATCAGCATTTAGTTATTTCCATTCTTCCGTTTTCGATTGATAAAAGAATATTATGATTTGTAATTCAATCGATAATCGCATTTTTCTTCACTAATGAGAAAATTATTTAAACAGTTAAGATTGATTTCTATGTACAATAGTTAGAGTGAAGAACAAAACATCTTATTTATCACATACACTAAAACAAACAGTTTTTTAATATTCTAAAGTAAGTCAAATAATTGTTTATCATAAAAACATATTTCAGTGTACTTTTTTCTCGGTAAGAAATAGTCGTCCGATAAATGTTTGCTTTAGTTTTCGTTCTTTTTCTCTCATTTGTATATTGTTATGATGTATTATGTACGGAGAAGAAAATGTTAGTTGCAAAGTTTTTGTATTTTTGTTCAAACAAAAAAAGAATCGATGGAAACCGAGCTTGTGGAAACATGTAGGTTAGTTATAATCACAATAATACAAAGTGCGTTGCCTCATAGAAAAAGTACATATCAATAAAAAGTAATGGGAACCAATGCAAATGTTCTGCAAATATACAAGAATATCTACATGATTACATTAGGTAAACTAACAAACTAAACAAATGACGTCTTTTCTTTCTTCTAATATTCGGATGGAGAAAAAACTTCTTTCAAAATTTGAATATATTATGCACGACTTCTATGTACATAATTATTTACAACACGTAAAGATCTATGTCATTTCTTTCCGATTTCAATGATATTGAATTGTTTTACTAATGATTAGGTAGAACGCGAATTTAGTAATTCTAATATATATTGACAATACAATATTCGTCCTTGTGTTTTTTATCAATTGATATTTACAAATGTGTTTGTTTATCTCCTTAGTTCAAGAGTATTGTGACTATATTAGTTTTTATTATGATAGAGAAAAACAGATCAAGAATGCATGGTTCATAGTATCGAATGGTGCTACTCAGAAGAATTCTCTGACGAAGAACACACTGGGTCAATATATGAAAATATTAATATCTTGAGATTTTGAATCAAAACCAATAAAATATAATTTTATGTAGTTTCTTGTCAGATAATATGTTTTCTCGGAAATCTTCGATCTTTTTCTACCATCACCAAACTTTACAATATCAATTAACAGATGTTAGAACTTTACAAAACAAAACACAATCACAAAAATGAACATCATAATCATAATCCATCTTTTCGAATTATTTAAAATCTCAAGATGTTCATATTTTCATACATATTATGAGTAGCTGCCTAATTCAACTTCGAATATAAATGGAAAAGAGCTCGAAATTCAGTATTCTCACAACTGAAAAAAAATCTTCTAAACCAAAACTTATAGTTAGAGTTGGAAGGTGTCTATGTTGGTTTGAGAAAAAGTAAAAGAAAAAGTTTACTTAATCTATAATTTATAATTATATTACGAAGACACTTATGTTAGCTTAGGAAAAAAGAGGAAAAACAAAAAGTTTATCTAAATTATAATTTATAATTGTAAAACGAAGGCGCTTATGTTAGTTTAAGAAGAAAAGCAGAAGAAAAAGTTTATCTAAACTATAATTTACAATTCAAATACGAAAGCACCTATGTTAGCTTATATTAAAATATTGCAAATTTAAACATTAGATACGATGAATCCATTATTATCAAATTCTATTTTTGATATTATAATCATTTGGAAAGTTTTAATAAAAAATTGAGTGAAGCTGAACAGTTTCAATAGTATAATAATTGTGAAACTTATGATCATAATTCAATATTTTATACAATTCCATATACAAGAAATAAATATAAATTATAACTTTAAATATACTTGAATATGATTATTTATTTAGTTTTATCTCAGCAAAAGCAATTACATACAATTCACCATATTATTTAAGAAATGTTGATATGATGTGTTAATGCATTACTAACATAAAAAAAATTTAATTTCTGCATAAAATTGTTAGATTTATTTAAGGAATTACCAATTAATAATGCATGAAAAAACGATCTATCATTTTGTCAAATATCGAAAGATTTAAATATCACCATATTTGAAGAATTAGTAAATCTGTGTATTTGAATTTTAGAATATGAAACATTTGATTTTTTGATACTGAAAATGACGAATAAAAAATTAAATTTAACTTTAGTTTTGTTGTATAATTAAATAAGTAAAGAAATACTTTCGTCCTTTTAGAAACTAATTAATATAAATATTCTTTGTCTACTGATGATTAGATATGGAATACAGATATGAATCTAATGTGCTTGAGATTTAACAATAGAAAATTCGATGTCTAAGATCCTGAATTACTAATCATATTTACTAAAGAGTATATAAAAAAAATTATTATTCTGACTTTTAAATATAATATTAGCTGATATATTATCTTTGATTTGACATGTAGTTAAACAAATAACTAATTAATTATTTACTGAATTGTCTTCTAATAAAATCAATGCACTTTTGTTCAAATATGCTTTATCTTCCTTTGATTAGCACTATAATAACTATTGAGTAACTCATATATCGATATAGTTCATAATAAAAAGTTATTCGATTATGTATGACACCTATCGAAAATGATCCTCGCGTATTATCGAGTGAATTCAAATATAGACTATTTGTATGCCACATTCGAGTTTGGTCCAGACCATTTTTTATCTATTTACAACGTTACAAAGTTAACACTTTTACTGTTCTATTCAAATCGTCTTTTCATATATACAATAAAAAAACAGTCATGAATAAGACAGTTATTGGAATATTATCATAGTTAATATGTATAAATAAATTTGTGAAGTTCACAATGTAAAAACTATTATCTCATTTTTATCAAACTTAATATATTCATAATAGAAATCAATTTATTATTTATATAGATATTTTTCAACATGAAATAATTTATGATGACTTTCCAAGGGGGAAAAAGTGAGACTTCATCTACTTCAACATGTTTTTGAAACACCATGTAGTACTAGTGAAATACGCACTCCTGAAGTCTCGCTTTTCCCCTCTTGCTTGAGACACATCTGTCAAGCAATGATCAATCACAATGCAACTGGTGGTACATTAGCCTTTGGTAAGTGTGAATTTTTCCGTTTACCTGCTGATTCGACGACAATATCTCAACTGACATCTAAAGATTTCCAACAAGTAGCCGATGCTCTATATATAATTCGCTCATCAATGGTATGAATAGAATGATGGTTGAAGGAAAAGGTTCTGTAACTCAGTTTATTGCTGCTCAATTCAAAAATATGAATATGAAATAAAGTCAACTCGAACCAAAAGTAATTGACAATTTACATCAATATCCACAGTTTAAAGCTATCAAATGTAATTTTTCATATAATGATAATGGATCAATGATGACTGCGAAAGATGTCCGAACATTTCGTATCGAAGGAAGAGAATAGAACTATATTTCTTTAATAAATATTTTTTATTTATAAAATTAAAGTATTATCATAAAACCATTTTTGAAAGTTTTCTAAATTTGTTAATAATTCATGTTCATTCTTTCCAGTAATAAAACTAAAAATCAGATTTACCGAAAAAC